TAACCTTGCTCGACGCGACTTCTGGCGTGGTGGACAGGAAGGCGGGTGGGGAGGCGGTTATTGCTTGGAAGGAGAGTCCCCCTCCCTACAGGAAGCCACAACCACGTGTCACGGGAGGGAAAATAGCCGCGAATCCTGTTCGTCCCCGGATCTGGCGTTCGCGAACGGAGGCAAAATTTTGCGAACGGAGCTGTTCGTGACCCGAATTGGTCATGAACAGAAGCATTCATGACCCGAGGTACCACTGTACAAATTAACCTCTTGATTAACAGAGCATTTTTAAAAAAAGATTTTCTCAGTGAAAAGACATGGTAAATTTAAGACTTCCATTTAATTAGCAAGAAATTATTTAGAAAAGATAAAATACTAATTAAAGAAACAAAAAGGCCTACTCTGTACTGCAATGGACAAAGTTTCTCCCTCTCTCTAATATTATTGTGCCATAACTCCAGGGAGAATAATCACCAAATATAGTACAGGTAGTCCTCAACTTACGACCATTCGTTCAATGACCGTTCAAAGTTATGATGGCACTGAATGGACTTACAACCTGTGCCCAAAGTCACAGCCATTGTGGCGCCCCCGTGGTCATGTGATCAAAATTTGGGCACTTGGCAGCCCGCCTGTACTTACGATCACGCTTCAACTTTCTGCCTACCTCCCCCACATCTATATCTTTTGGCCCCCTGCTGCTTGCCACACCCCAGGAAGCTGTAGCTGCCACAGCCCAAGCTGCAAAAATTTTTTTTAAAAAGGCAGAAAGCAGCCCCAGACCCACAGCGCACCAAACAGCCCCTTTGCACTGCAGTTCAGGGACTGCTTTTCGCTTTTTTTTTTTGCAGCACAAAGCCCAGCCCCAGCCCAGCCCAGCAGCCAGGCCAGGCATGCCTTGTCAGCAGCAGGAACAAGAAGACAGAAAAAGTCAGAGGTGGCACAGCACAGGGTGGCAGGGGTCTCGGAGTGCAGGGTGGAGAGGGCAATGACAGCTGGCACTGGGCTGGGGCGGCTGCAGCTTCCCGCTGTATGACAAGCAGCCCCAGAGCCACGCATTCTGTGGCTGCATGCCACCCTGCAAGGCAGGGTGCAGAGTGACCAAAAGGGCAGAGATGGTGGGAAAGATAGGCAGGTGGGGGGAGTTGGAGGCAGTCCCTTACCTTACTGAGGCTTGGGACTGGGAGGGACCAAGCTTGGAATGGCTTGGATTGAGAATGGGTACTTACTTAATGACCCAAATTCTCAGTTTATGACGGCAACCAGGACTGCCGGGATTGTGGTTGCTAAGCGATGCGGTCACGTGATGTCTCGCTTTACAACTGCGTCACTTAGCAATGGAAATTCCAGTTCCAATTGTGGTTGTAAGTCAAGGACTACCTGTAAATCCATTTTGCAACTCACAGCATGTGTATTATTTTAAAAACTCATCACTCTCAAACTACTTAGTAAGGACTAATTTTGCAATATGATGACTAGGCATAGTGCAAAGTTAATTTAAGAATCAACAGCAAAGACATGTAAAAACAAGAAAGGTGACAAGATAAATATAAAAATATAATACTGTTAAAAAACAATATATGGATTCTTGAAAGAGAGAAGTTTTAGGTAAACTGGGATTTACATAAAGTTATTTAAAACTCTGTACATATCATAATACCCATAAAAATCAATCCCCGCATTTTTCAATATCTTAAAGAAAATTTTAAAAAATCAGTATCAATATCACTGGTGTCTTACAGATTAAGAAAGGGCTATAATATAGCTTTTTTAGTGCAGAATAGTGTTTCTCGCCCTATACAACTTTAAGATGTGTAGACTTCAACTCCCAGCATGTTGAGAAAGTTGCTAAGGTTGAAAAACACTGGTATAGAAGATAGTCTATCTTTTTTTAATCATATCTGTGTGCCAGGGAGAAAATGCCCTCTTAGAGCAGTTTTGAACAGCTAAAGTTTAAAATACAAGACTGCCATTTTAGAATCAACCATATGTTACCCTTAAAAAGCTCTGGTTTAAACTGTTATTCCATTTGCTGATAACACCTACAATGGATATAGTAGCATAATCTCTACTCCAAATCTTTATCCAGGAATAAGCCCCACTGAAAACATGGGCTCTCACTGAATTAACCTCTATGAATGCACTGTAAACATTTGTTTGACTTCGTTAAACATTTACAAAAATCTCTTAGCAATAATAATAGGTATAAGTCTGATAACAGTTTTATTCCATTTCCAGGAATTAAGGTTTTATTTTATTCATGCACCTAAGAATTCTGAAAAGACCTTCTGTATAAACTTAGAGCTTTCCAGAAGCCTACACTGCATGAATCATTCTTGCAACATCACTTACCTATAACATAGTTTTGTACTTTACTTAAGATGAATAAGAATACTCTAATCCCCACCTCATTATGTAAGACTAAAAACTAAAATAAAAAAAATACTTTTATTCCACCATCTTTTAAACAGATATGTATTGATCTTTAATGTTTATTGCACATCATTACACATTTTCTTTTTCTTTTTTAAAGCATCATTATAATTTTGGTAACTAGAAGTGATTTGGAAACAAAAGTATACATAAGACAGTTGACGAATAACTGCCAGCTTTGGGCTAAAAACAGCAAAGAGACAGATTCTGAAATTTCTACTTTAAAAGTCACCATGTCCTATATTTTAAAATTATTCTCCTTGTTCTAGAATCTCTCTCATGTCTACCTCAATTAAGCCCTCAACTTCAGTTCAACATTCCCAAGTCTTAGCTCTGCATATTTCATCAATTAACGCTGCCCTGCATATTCTCATTACTCATGTAAATGTGTCACTGTGCTATATAACTTATCCATATAAATAAGGATGATATCATATATTAGTGTTCTTGACACAGAAGAAATAGTAGTATCTACTGTAGAAAACAGACCTTTGAGCATAATGATACCACTGTTAGGTGCAACTGGAGACATGTCTTAATGATGGCAGTTTTTGTTCTCACTTCCACAGGATCAGAAAAATATTGTTACTCAGCATTTTCTGACGTGACTATGGAACTAATACGTACATATTTAAATGCTCCTAACATAGGCACATATATAAAAGAGCTGTTCTCACCACAACTCCTATAAGCAGGGATGGTATCGCTTCTGCATTTTCTTTTGAATTATCTACATTATTCTGTAATTAAATAGTGAGTACTAGTAGTCCCCAGTTTAAGAACGAGTTCCATCCCAAGGTCTGTCCTTAAATCAAATTTGTATGTAAGCCGGAAGAGTATTATTGTATAATACTGTATAAGTAGTACTGCACGTGTAAGTAAATAAGTAAATAAGTAAGTAAATAAATAAATAAGTAGTATTGTGTAATTAACTTGAACCATTGTGTATTTAACGCGAATCATTGTGTATTTTACTCTAATTTTGCTACAATAGGCTCTGTTCTTAACTATGGGTTGTATTTAACTGGGGGTTCTTAACTCGGGGACTACAGTAATGCTAAGGACAGTCAGCACCTAGACCACACTTGATCTTCCTATCTGAGTTTTACAGACCCTAACCCTATACCAAACTCCTTTTCAAACAGTTTAATGTTGGTAGCTGGAATTACAAAGCCACTCTGAACAATAGAGAATTATAAACTATATGTCTGAAACTCAATATATTAAGCACCTGTTGTAGACAGAATAAAAAAGGAGAAATGCTTTGATGTGATATTTCTAAGGTTTCCATTATTACATATTAACGGGAACCTCTCTCATAAAAAGAGCATTAGATTATTAAACTCTAAGATTATACTACTATATGCACTTATGTGGAAGTAAGTTTCCAAACATAATGGGACTTACCAAGGAATCATCTGAGTAATAGGATATACAGAACAGTTTTGTATACCTTGGAAGAAGGCCACGTGCAAGAAAAAAAATATTAGACAGCAAGTTTCGTGTCTTTCACAACAGAGCAGGTCCCAAGCAAAAGGTTCAGGTACTGTAGCTGAGACTGAGGCAATGAAAAAGAACAAGTATGGACTGAACCACATAACTGCAATCCAATGCTCCCTTACTTAGAAGTAAGCTCCGCTGAGAACAACCTGACTTACTTCCAAATAAGAAGCTGAGCTATATGATTTATCAAACCACACGCTTTTAAATCATGATGGAACAGTGCCCAAAACAAAGGGGGCATGCCCCCCTCAATGGTATTTTATACTTTTTCTTCAGATTTCACTTTTCACCCCCAAAACGACCATCTGCAGCCATTTTACCCGTGGAAGCAAAACAAAAAGCATGCAGGCATTTGCTCACGAAGAAGTCAGCCTGGATTTCTGGCCAACTGGGGAAGAAGACAACCACAAGCAGGAGAGTGTTCAATGAAAGCCAAGGCCCCCCAACCCCTTATTTCTCCCAGCAGATGCCAGTGGGAAGAACATGTCCGGGAAGATAAGCCCGATCAGCACACGCCCTCTCATCTCCTCCGGCAACTGGGAGGCTGCCAGTTTTGAACTTGGGGGCAGCCTTACAACAGGGCTGGGAGCAACCCACGGCTTAATTTGGGCTGGGGGGGAGCCAGGTTTTCCCCTTTGCTGGCTCCTTGGCGCCCACACTCCTGGCATCTCCGCGGCTTGGGGCCCAAAAGGGCCTGCAGTTCTTCGGAAGGGGCTTCCTTCCCTCCCCCTTCAATCAACGGGGGGAGGACGAGCCGTCAGAAGTCCCGGCTCGGCCTGCGCCCAGTGGCGCTCCCCAGAAGGCCTCCCCGCCGGGGCCGAGAGGAGGGGAGCGGCCGGCGGAGAGC